AAGCGCGAAAGAAGCCTTGACCACTAAAGGTTATTGACCCATTGTGTAGGAGCAGCGCAACTTCAGTGCATGCAAGGAAAACGAAGAGACGTGCACACTTAAAGAACATGTTTTGCAATGTCCTCAATGCTTGTTTATTGATCTCAACTGAGATTATACTTGATGAGTCATCATAAAATGTGATATTGCGTCAAATAAAATTATTATTAACACTTAAAAAATACAACTCTGAAATCATCCATGACGACAAGATCTTTGATATGTTGTAATAAATTGTTCAACTTTTGTGATACAGGCGTATAATTGTCCAAAATACCGAAATTGTCCTATTAGAAAAATATAATATTAATTTTCAAATTGCTCCCCAAACAAACAATCGGATTTACATTCTAAATGGAGCAGGGCTATCTGCGTAATCTTGTATGTGGCAAGTGAAAACAATACCTATAAATTAAGAACAAATTAATTTTCAGCTCAGAACCCTTAATTCAGAAATCTTATTTCTTAACCAACTCAGAACCATTAATTATTGAAGCGAATTCTTGAATTTCATCCATTAGCCTATTCCTGCCATAAGTTGAAATTGATAGTAATTTTCTATTGTAGCTACGTAGCTTGAGTTTTCTTTTACATTTTGTAAGTATAACACGGCCAGTATGGATCTTGTGCTCTTCGAATATCTATACCTCAGCTGAAATCGATCTTACAATCAGGGAGTTCAGAAGCCAGTACCGATACCTCACCCCACGAGATGAACGGAAAACAATGTAGCTTCAACCTTGCAATAATTTTAAATTCGATATTCTTCAATTTTTTTTAGCATTTGGTAAATTATTCCCAACTTCATTCTTGGTCTTGAGTTTTACGCAAATTTATGAATAGCACTTGAATCAAGAGCATGCAATGTAGGCATTTTAATCTCACGTGTAGAAATAATCAAATGTTTGCTCTGCGTAGTTAGTACATTTGAAGATGCATTTTATTTGTATTTGAACTGTGCTCAGAGGTAAATTTCAATTCTTCAGGTTTTCTGATTAAACATTTTCATCGAGCGTCAGAAAGCGACACAGTTTGAAAGTACTAGAAACGCAATCACTAAATTAATTTACATGGCAATGTCATTACGACTCTTGATTACTTATAATGTTTCGTTGGTAAAACCTGCAGACCAAAACACTAACACCATTTGTGAAGTTTAATTCTAATCGAGGTTAGTAACTAAATTGAATTTCCGGGGAATTTTCATTGCATGCTAACATCTGCTTATTTAGACATGGTTTAGTACATTGACATGTCAAGTATATTTACATATTAATGGAATTATTACAAATATATTACGGAGGAGTAAATTCAATTCTTTCAAGTTATAAAAATATTGACATTGAACAATGGAGGGAATAATTTTAGCGTATGAAATTCATTTAATTCGTTCTGGATTGATGTTCAATTCCAAGATTGCAAAATTTAAATGGCTATTCTACTGGAAGTGGGAGCCTAAAGCGTTCGTATGTACGATAATTACTTTTTTAGTCACCACTATAGTATTATCTGACATAATCGAAAAGCATTTGTTCCAACTGAAGCACGGTGTTCATTAACCGATGAAATAAAGCATAAAGCGTGTCGCGACATTGCCCAGGGCCACCTCTTGCGGGCAGCGACCTCCACAGACACGTGCTGGCTGACAGAGCGAACGTGTTCTCTATCGAACACCGCGCATTCTGGTTGCACAGATAATTACACAGTTTGACAATATAGGTGTCGAAACCTATTCACGCTAAACCCTTTAGCCTGATACTGGCGGGTTTACCTTACAGCGCGTATTACTTCATTTCGACAGTGCGCACTATTTCTGACCTTAGAAAGGGACTAACTTTCAAAAACATTTAATATTAGTTCAATATAAATAGCAAAAGTAACATTATTGCAATTATTGTTATGGTGATTCCTTAAAGTGACACGAAGTACAATAGCTACATAACGATAAAAATGGAGATAATAGCAATCGTTGACAAAAATCCAGATAAAATAAAAGAAACAAAATGAGGTAAAGACACTAAGATAATAAGAGGGTTCGCAGCTTACAACCAAAAATGTAATTGGTTTTAGTATCACAAACAATGTTTGAATCTTTTTAATTTTCTGGTAACTAGTACATAAAATACAGAAAATTATTTGGAGAGTATTAACTTAAAAACGATTTGAAGTGTGCATGGAAGAAAATGATTGTTACTTAATTTTCATTCTCAGCTTTTCAATCTACTAATTTGAGAATGGTAAGGGTATTTTATTTTCAACGCCGTTTCGCCGGAAGTCAATATGTCGCTGGCCCCGAATCCCAAATACTTCCGAACCTTCTGATTTAGAGTCCAACTACAGACAAATGCGTAAAGCCAGGACAACGAATTTTTAAACGTATCTCCTATTGCTGCGTATTCTTTTTTTAATTTTGGCGCGTTTCTATTTTATTGAGATGTGTAGTTTGTAAATATTCTATAATACATACAATAAATAATCAGTGAAGCGATACTTGCTTATTATTGAATGCTTGTCCACCATGAATCTATGAATCTGTGGATGAGTTAGTCACTCTTATCATACGTAGGACAAGGTGTCAGCTGGCATGAGCAGGAAACGAAAGTCTGCGAATTAGCGAACGCCTGCGTTCGAATTAAAATCTCACGATTCGGCTCTTTTTGTTACGTTTTAACGGGTAATTTAAAAGAAATAATGAATATAATGGCTTCAAACTCAGTTGAATAAGCAATCGCAGCATTTACGCCTTTTAATGACATCATTCATTACTCAAAACCATGTCAAAGTTATTATAAAATATCCGTAGATTATCGTACTAAAAGCTTAAAATGTCAGCTTCTCCTGATTACAAAGTCGAACTATAATACTGATAAAATACACACAATACATTATAAAAAACCACGAAAACTAATTTTAACATTTATTTTATTTATTTATGTTGAACTTTTACTCCTCTTTCAACTATTTATAGTTAAAATAACGGGAAAGGATTCTGGAACTACAGAAAACGTGCGCTGATAATCTTTTCCCCCTCACGTTTTTACAGTTTTTACTGTTTTTTTGACTGAATAAATCTAAATATAAATCACTCATGACCATAGCATATTACACCAGACTCCTTTGAGCAACGCCTGAGTCAGCACAATACGGCCACCGTTACGAGATAACGTGCCTGTTGTGTCGAATATACAGAATCAAACTCTTACGTTGTTTCTTCCTTACAAAAAACTGTAAGTTTAATCTAAATCAAGTTAATAATTGAATATTAACAATATATCTTTTAGAAAATACATTTTAGGTGGTATTAGGATACGATATTGTTTGTACATAATTAGTGACCATTATCTTGATTCTTAATTCTACCTAAAAAAACATGCCCAACCATTAAATAATTTCTTCATGGCTGTAATTCTTCCTGGTTGTTTCTTTCATTTCATGTTACTCAATACCACATTTTTTTCACTACAAATCAAGGTATAACGCCTCTTCAGTTTCCAATAACTGCAAGCCACAGTCTGGGATGAATCTACGAGATTTTGGCCTTATGCATTCTACTTGCATACTATTAGTTTCAATTAGCGACTGTAAAGCGACGAGCAGAGTTTGTATGTCACATAGTGGTGATCAACTGAAAAACACAATGACTTATTCGGGAAAGAATTACCAACAACATTCTTTATTTCGATTAAAACATTGAGTCCGTTGGAAATTTCATTAGCTGTGATGCTGTCATCCAATCAGAAACTTCATTGATTAATTGTTAGTGATTTCGGGCGCGTCAATTAGTAGGGTCATTATTCCCGTAAGTGTAGTGTATACTTTTGACCAGGTGGTGGTGGTGGTGGTGGTGGTGGTGCACCCTTATCCGGCGCCGACCTAACTTCCGTTAGCGGTGTTTTCCCCAACGAGGTATCACCCACCAGCGGATTAAAACTCCACCTCTAAGCTCCCGACCGGACTCCCGGCATGCGTACTAGTGTAGTGCATGTTAGTGTAAGTGTGTGTAAGGGGGTGGAGGAGAGGACAAGGATGAGGAAGGAAATATCGCGCGCGGTCTGCGGCCCGTTTGTTAGTGTACTGCTCCGGAATTTGCCTGGTGTTGATCGGAGAAACCACTGAAAACTACAAATCAGAAAATCCAACTGTTAGAATTCTCCTTCAGACAGCGACTGAATTCGATCTAGCCGGCAAGATAGTGTGTAAAATACTGCCACCGTCGAGACTCGAACCTAGGCCCTCCCGGTCAGAGAGACTGCAGTGACACTACTTGATGCCCGGAGCCATCACTTCCGGACGGGAACTTAAATATCACTACAGTGACATTTAAGCTCCCACAGCTGACGAAATGTCAACGAACTTAATTTTTAATCGAAGAATATTCTCGAAATATTTTCCATGAGTGCATCCATTTTCCCTTCAATTGTTAGAATCATCAGATTATAAATACTTCTGTAGATACTGAAATTTCGAGATGGACAGCGCCTCAATTAATCTCCAAAAGCAATACATCGTAACTTGCACAATGCAAGCAATTTTCTAGTGGGAATCACCAATTAAGAAAATCGCGACTTCAGCAGGAGTTTATTTCATCTCGTTTACCCGATTTTCTGCCAAACGTACGGCACACACAGCAAGCGCTCGCCCATCTGCGTGCCTACTCCACCTCTTGTGCACCACAACAAACTGTAAATCGCGGCGTGGCGCGGCGTGGCGTGGCATTGACACGGAGGCCTTCCGATGGCCGGCCGTCGCTCGCCGTCGCTTACCGTCCACGTCGCCGCGTGCCCCGCGAGGGCACGGCCCCTGGTATTTCGCCCTCCCTCGCGCGCGACGGGGCGCGGGCGGCGACGCCGCGCTGCACCCGGGAACCAGTTTTCGCGCGCCGGGTCCGGCCCGCACTTTGCATTCTAAGGCGTTATTTAGCGCAAGTGGCGACGGCGGCGCGGGGCACCCGGCCAATAACAATGTCGATCGCGTGCTCCCCCTCCACGCGCAAAGCCACCCCGAGACGTCGATGCCGATCGCCGCGATCGGACGCGCAGCTATATAAAGCGGCCGATGCGGCCCTCGAGTCAGCACACAGCTCGCAGCCAGCCAGCTTCCACCACCTCCACTCAGTGCCTCCGCCGCCGAACAGCACCGTCGCCATGGCTTTCAAGGTAATCGACGCCGGGCCGTTCGATCGGAAAGTTGCCAGAGACGTCGTGAGGAGCGGCGAAATGGGGAAAGGGGTGCGGCGCGACGCGTTGGGAAAACGACCCGCAGTTTTGCAACCGGTCATGGTATTCTGCTCGGAATAAGCGGTTTGGTTGCGACCCGAAGTGTATAGAAACTCGCAACTATCTGTTAATAACAAGGGATACTCTGGTTTCCGGAAGGAGAAAGGTGGGAGCTTTGTAGAGAGGCCGACATGGTTCAAGGAAGGCTCTGAAACGGTACCAGATGAATATAACATTTTCCTTCATCTACTTCACTATTCAAATGTTAAGATGTTTTTCGAAATGATTGTCAACTAATATTACGTTATTATCACGGTGCAGTTCTGGTTTCGGCCCAGAGTCTTCATTAGGTAACTTTCGTAAGTTCCATATATTTCTGTATCGAGGCCACAAAATGTGTCATTATTCATACACCTGAACTTTGCGTCTTATAAGGAACGTAAGGTTGCACAAGCTTCTCCCTATGGCGACGAGAAAATCTTTGAAGGAGTGACGAAATATTTCAGAAAAAGGCAAATTTTGCATTTGCATTACGTCCATTTCATTAACACGTTAACTGTAGTACGCTAATTTTCGTGTTTCATACCAGGTAAAATACATCCCTTTGATGATTAAAAGTCACTTATTTAAACGTTTTGTGCTTTGAAATTTTAATTCAAGAAAGTTTTAATTGTCCATAATTACGGATAAAAGTTATGAATATAGTTCACTTAAGAGAAATTACTTAACATAACATTGTTTGCAAAATGTGTAAATAACCCATCCTCTTAGGGTTCTATGTTCTTTACCTAGAACCAACGAAACTTGTGGCCAGATTGCGTTCCTGTTCAGTCGAATTCGCTTTCGCCATAGACGGCCGTTTACAAACGAATAATTTAAAAACGTCTAGGCTCAGTCGCAGTGCTTTGGGAAATCTCTTTCGAACACGGCTAATGTTCAAAGCAGATTTAATAGAATTAAATGGACTTTAATTATTTATAGAACTAGATCCATTACCACGAATAAAAAAAGGTTTGCTTCTTTAGTTTTTGAAATACAAGCCCCATAGAAAACATTCAGTTCAAGACATCACAATCGAAACATTGCAGTATATTCAAGAGCTTATTTCCAAAGCGAAGATTCTCCATACCACCTGGATGGCCGATGTGGCTAAGTTCTTGAACCGACTTAACGCTTCGGACCGAAGGGCCGCAGGTTAGAGCCCCACCTTAAGCGTGGTTGTTGTCTCTTTGTCTCTCATGAATATGTTGCCGCGGAGGGCTTCGCGTTCTGCTGACCCGAGGTCAGAAGGGCTCGCAAGTGTGCCGGTGTGTAGTGAATGGTAAAAAACGAGTTCCATCCGGCTGTAAAAGGTAATCGGCTGGCGGCTGGATAACAGCCCTAAGGAGGAAAATTATCTCCATGAAACGAGTTTAAAGGAAAGGATATTATTCTCATTCCTCCATGTAATTCAAGATAGAATTCGAAGGTTTTCGGGCACCGTTTAACATAGAAAAGAAGCAACTTTAAAAAAAATATTTGACGACATTATGGTCAAGAAACTACAAGAAATATTGATACATAACATTATGACAACAAACTGCAGTAGATGGACCATAGTCAAATTGGAAATAATCTTCAATTACGAAATGAAAATAATTTTGTAAGAAATAGGCGAACGTTTTTAGAATACTTCAAACACGAATCTAAACTCATCATTGAAATAGGGATGTAATGTTTGTTCTACAAATAGATTTCTCATATTATATTAAAACTACTTCAAATCAAGCATAACTCAACGAGCAGCGGAAATATTTTTGCTTCAATTACATGTCACACATCCCTAATAGTTTGAATACGGGTGTCTGGCACTGTGGAAAACAATTTCTATGTGCGCGTCCACTAAAACTGCCGAGACCGTTAGTCAACAGGGAGCGAGTCAATCAGGTTTTAGAAGCGGAAACGCAGACAGAAGCCTTCGCGAAAATGGGTGCTGTAGTTCCCTCGGCATTTATCTTTGCCAGGAATTTTGGGCTCACTGCTACCTTCGTCAATCAAAACCATTTTTGTCTAACTTTTTGTTTTGTTTTCAGTTTGTCGTCCTCGCCGCCCTCGTGGCCGTGGCCAACGCCGGCTACCTCGGCGGATACGCCGGTTATGCGGCGCCCGCCGCCGTCGGCTACGCCGCCCCCGCCTACGGCCACGCCCTCGCCACCCCCGCCATCACCGCCCAGGCCTCCAACATCCTGAGGACCCCCGGCAACCTGGGCCAGGTGTCCACCTACTCCAAGGCCATCGACACCCCCTACTCCAGCGTGCGCAAGTCTGACGTGCGCGTGAGCAACGACGCTCTGGCCTACGGTGCCGTCGCCGCCCCCGCCTACGGCTACGCCCGCGCCGCCTACGGCGGTGCCTACGCCGCCCCCGCTCTGGCCGCCCCCGCTCTGGGCTACGCCCGCGCCGCCTACGGTGGTGCCTACGCCGCGCCCGTCGCCCGCGCCGGTCTCCTCGGCGTCGCCTACTCCGCCGCCCCCGCCGTCGCTCACGTGTCATACACCGGTCTGGGCGCTGCCTACGGCTGGTAAACACTAACCTCTTCACCTCTCATCGTCTTCACAATCGCCCTCCATATCATGTCTTAATGGCTTTTATTTATGGCTGCTCAGCATTTATAAATAAATCTTTCAACATATAGGCACAAAATTGTCTTATGATTATTACTCCTAATTACTTTCCTCTCTCCCACTACTTGAAAAGAATATCAGTCATGAAAATCATTAGGAAATATTTTCTCTCTTGTCAATTTTCTTTCCAGATTCTAGTTTTAAACCCAGTTTCAGAAATAATAGCTATTTTAGCCTCGCATTTGGAATTTAATGGTTGTATAAATGTGGTTGTGTTAAAATATATATTATTTTATTATTAATTTTTTGCAAAATATGTTCTTCTCGAGTTAAAAGTGTGTAAGAAGATTTTATCCACACACGTACATCTGAAAAGTAGCCCAGACTAAATCTCAAAAGTGAAATTACGAAATATTCATTATGAACCGACTAGACACGTGTTAGGATTGTACGAGTAATTAGTTGTCATACGATGTCGTTGTTTAAATGTCTTCACAAATATCACATTACAAGCATAAGCTTAAATAGCTTTCAAAACCTGAAACAAACACACTGGTCCTTGAAAGTAATCATATTTTCATGGCTTCTGATAATAAATGGTAAAAAGATCAAGATCTATTTTAAGGATTTCGGTTCGTTATGGCAGTGATAATTTTTTCTGAACTAATTCTAATCAATACGTTGTATCTCGACAAGAAACATAATAAATATTGATAAGGTTACAAAAGTGTTTTATAGTACAATCACAATTTTCTTACCGTTACATTATGCACCCAAAGCGAGAAGAGAAGAACCATTTTCAAAAGCGTAAATGCATAGTAAAAGCAATAGAACACACGTTTGGATATTTATCTCATTGATGACACACATTACATTTGAGTTCGTTCGTTTACGAATCGAGGACCATGTTGAAGCATTTCAACTCCCAGAAGGAAGTCTAGTTCTATATACCAAGTTGTTTCTGAACGATCTCTTTATTCCGACATTTACATCATTCATGGCTTTAAAGGCGCCCTTCACGCTGTGAAGACGTAACGATTGACCCTATTTTGTTCCCTCTATTAAACCACATCAAAGACGAGCGTCTGATGTCACGGCCCGGTGAACTACTCTTATGAACGCAGACCGTTGTCTCCTGACTTTATGGAGAACACGGGTTCGTGGTTCCCCTCATCCTAATCGGCTGTGCGCGTAGGGGGGCTGTCCATAAATTTCGTATCGCAAATGCTATCATGGCCGTTTAATGTTGTCATGAAGCATCCAACTATGAGCGCAACCACAACAACAAATATAGAATTATGATACGAAATATAAAATTTTCCAGACTCTCCGCGAACGAGAGGATTTTAAACGAACCTCATTCTAATTAGCATGAAGCTTGTTTCAGTGCAGGTTTATGACGAATAAAATGTGATAAAGCCTGCTGCAGTCTTCTAATTTTTCGGTAGTGATTCGGTCAAACCAAATCAATGAAGCCAGAGCTGAATATGCATTTGTATAAATCTCATTATTTTAACACCACCAGCCACAAAACGTTTTTTTTTTAACAAAAAATACGTTAGTATGAATCAGTCTCTCAGCACATATAATAGGAAAACAAAACACTGAATATTATTTCAAATATTACATGTTCTTTAGATATGCGATTCTACAAGTAAATGCATAAAATTATTTTATTAATTTTGACTGTGTAATTTAGTAATTTCTAATTTAATTGTTTAATATAATAATTATTCTTCTCTTCTTATACACTACATACTCTTCCACTTCTTATAAAAGACTTTCATTGAAATAAGATATTGAATACGTATAAAAAGGAAGCATTACATGTGATGTAACCTTAATTGTGTATCACATCACAAACCGAAATGCCGAAATAGAAAATTAGGACATCATATGCAATACTTTGGTTTTACTAATTTAAACCAATGATAGTCTTTAATACAAACAGGATAAAAATTATTATTATTATTATTATTATTATTATTATTATGAAATAGTCATTAAATAAATAAAAATTGTATAATAATGAAAAGCGTCTACAGAAACCCAAAGACTTGCTTAAAACCGCAATATTGCAGGGGAGATGGGGTGGTGACGTAAGTGTTAGTTGACACTCAGGTCGTCCACATACCTTCAATAAGCCTTAGCTTAGGGTCACGGGTCCATGACCTTATGAACTTCTATGAGAAGTCTTAGAACTATCAGTGCAACGATAGTGAAATCACGATCTCAAATGGTTTTAGGTCTAGGTGAGTAATAATTTCGTTATTCATTGATTGTCGTCTGCAATATTGAAAAGGAACGATTTTGCTCTGTTTTTTACTTTCTCGCTACGGAGTACAGAGGGTATGTAATTCTGCGCGAAACAACGGCAAAATTTTGACAGAAAAACTTTTAAAAAAAGACCCAAGTATCGAAAAAGTGGATAAATCCTGTTGTTAAATTTATCGGGGGGGGAGGAAATCCTCTGACATGTGGTGTATCCAGAATCCTTATTTTGTGGGTCCTTGGTACCGAAAAATCGAATGATGCGATTGCTAAACGCCTGTCCATCCGTCTGTGAACAACACTAGTGGTTAAACAGTTAAGCCGATTTTCTCCAAAATCGATATTCTCCAAACGCTCTGGCAGATGTCGTGGCCTCTTGTATTTGAAACATATTTTAATTTTCGAGGGTTCTTTAAATGAAACATCACAGACATTTTCAAACTTTTCAAAAAAATTCTCCATCGCTTTTTATTAAATTTTGTTGTTGGGTAGTGTGAAATACGTTTAAGAGAATGGCACAGGACTAATTTTCCTTCAAAACTCGATACTCGAAAACTTAATTTTCGAAAATTGCAGAAGTTCAACATTTTTTCGGTGTCTTCCTACAACTAAAATATTGAAGACATATTTTTTCCTTAGTGAAATTTGTTCTTTAAAGACAGATTTTAAAATAAGGTCATGTACAATTTTTCGAAATTTTGAATATTTTTGCAAAAATGTGCGTGAAAATATTGGCGAGAAAGCAGGTGTTGATTTAGCATGAGGGGTTCGTCTGAAACCTTTAAACAAGCTCTTGGTTTTCATCAATTTTTAAGTTTTGAATTTACTTATCACCTAAATGGCCATTTCTAAAAAAAATCCGGTTCAAAGTTGGTTGGCAACTTTCCAATTGGGGTTGATTGACTAGTGAAAAGCAGCCCCACCTTTGTTTCCCAACCATTCCCATACAATAAAGATTTTTTTCTGATATTCTATTCAAGACTAGGGTGAAAGCACTGGTAGTGGCTACAGTTAAGAACATTTTCGTAGTTTCCTGAAATTTCTTGGACTACAATACCACAATACTCAAGTGATACCTACTGAGATGATCATAGATGAAATGATCATAGCCTACGTCTCGGTGGATACATCCCTTGACAAAAAATGCCAATTTCTAATCTTCTATATCTACATCAATTTCTTCTATTTTTAATAAATGTATTCCTAAACAACGGATTTTGTTCCAGTGGTGAACATTTGAAGGTTACGAAAGTTTAGAAGTTGTCAGTTTCTCGACCCGATAATGGCCAATGGATATTTTACCACTAAAAGAGACCAAAAAAAGTCCAAGGAGTATCCTTATTGGAATGCCAATAATAATGAGAAGTTTTCAGCTTGTTCTTTAGACGTAAAATTGTGGAAAATAAATTAATGATCTTCGTTCTAATTCTCACCACTACAGGATCATGGTCGGCACGTTTGAATCCGGTGGGAACCCATCAGTTTCCATTTGTCTGATTTTGTGCTTGAAGACACGCTTCTACTGACGCAGTGGACAGAAGTGGGGCTGTCCCGCTACGTGTGCCTACCATTTTCATTGAACACACTTTCATGTCATACCAGACATTTCCGAAATCAGAAACAAGTCTTTTTTAAAATGTACCATTTTCATCGTATTTTCAGTCAAGTGCTGTACTATGGGCCCACATTTCGGACGATTACCCAGCAACTCAGCGGGCTCACTTCGCGGGCTCTCTGCCGCTCCTGAAATGACATGAGCGGGCGGGTCCTACGAGGCCAGCTTCACATTTTGTGGAAGAAGCCGCACATTGTGTCATCCTGTAGCTTGGGGCGGCGCTGTGGGCTTGGGCGTGGGCGCGCGGCGGAGTGGCTGGGCGTGGGCGCGGCGTGGGCGGTGCGGTGGCGTGGGGTTTTTTGGGGGGCCCCCCTGGGTGGCCGGTGCTGTGGCGTGGCGGTGGCGGCGGTGGCGTGGGTGGCGTGGCGAGGCGGTGGCCGGTGGCGTGCGTGGCGTGGCGTGGGGTGGCGGTGGGGGCGGTGCGGTGGCGTGCGGCGTGGGGCGTGGCGAGGCGTGCGTGCGTGGCTGGGTGGCGGTGGCGGGACGCGGGGACGGCGGACGGCGGGACGGGGCCGGACGGTGCCACCCGGCGGACGGGCGACGGCGGCGACGGGCGGGGACGGGGCGGACTGGCGGGACGGCTGGGACGCGGGAGGGCGGGGCGGGCGGGCGGGGGGGACGGGCGGACGGCGGGACGGCTGGACGGGCGGGACGGGCGGGGACGGGCGGACGGCGGCGGCGGGCGGGGACGCGGGACGGGCGGGACGGGCGGGACGGGGCGGCGGGGACGGGCGGGACGGGGCGACGGCGGGACGGGCGGACGGCGCGGGGACGGCGGGGACGGGCGGGGCCGGCAGGATCGCAGGGAGGGGGCGCGAGAGCGAGGGGGCGCTGGGGAGGGAAAAGCTGCGTCTAGGGAATCTCAAGGGAAAGGTTTACCTCCTGTCGGGTCTCTTACGATAACGAAAGCTTGCGCTTTGCGGACAAGAAAGATATCTAAATGTTTATTATCAATCGATGTTTAATTTTATGAAGAGTTGTCATTCAGTTTTAAAAGATTTCTTATTTCTTTGTTCCTTACATCTGAAACTTTACTTTTGCTCATCTATCGCAAATGAAAATATAGTTTTGATATTCCAAACAATTAAATGAGGTTACCAACTCAATGTTGCAGAAAAGACAAGATGCATATTTTTATTAAAAATGTAAAATACTCGCTCGCGTAT